GTTAATAACAGAACTAAAAGGAGGAACTCTGTGCCTTGATTACCAGTCCCCTGGTCAATCCACCAGAACATACCAAGTCTGACTGCATCCTATTTTAGTACACCTCTTCAGTTATTGTTACCCAAGGATACTTGACTTTTCATAAACAGACTCATCTGAAAATATTTAAACATGTTTCAAAGTCAAATGCTTGATTATACAAGTTATATTTATAATCCCATACACTTAAAAGATGCCTTTTTTACTTGCTACTAACAGTTTTTCGCTAAGACTGAAACTCAAGACTGATGTACTTCTCCACAGTTTACTAGCACTGTTTATTTCTTCTCTCTAGTCATCTCTCCAGTCTTGTTTTAAGTCTGAGACTACAAAGAGACGTTACAGTTGTAGCACTGGTTGTGCCAATGTATGCCTTGATGTTGACTGGTATGTCGAGACATCACATTTCAAAGAGGTTTTCAAAAGTAGGATAAACCACCACTTTTCTATGGCAAGTCAAGGGCAGGGAGGAATGAAGGATGTGTAGACTATGGCTGCCCAGCCTATGGTGGGGGAGGGGGATACCGATTGCCCATTCCTGCCCATCTTCCTAGCATCTCCCCATTTATCCAATGGAGCCTTTTGCAACCCAGAACAGAGCCTTCCCAGAACAGCTGGAGAGCGTGAGCAGCCCCAGGCTATGGAGATCATCCCTCATCAAGTCCCACTGAGCTACTCATTCCTGAGCACCAGTTGCCCCAAATCCCCGCACCCCTAGCTGGTTCCTGCCTCTGACTCCCATACTCCCTGATATCACAACATAACCGTGTAGACATCCATCTCAATAATGCGGAACAATCTGTTTACAGATATTGTTGAACAAATATTGGACATTTGTGACAGAACAAGTGGCAAGGATGTTTATACGTTCGTGTTTGTCCCACCAGAAAACTTTATGTTGTAACAAGGGTGACATTTGTTTGAAGCCTGACAGACAAAATTTCTACTTTATTAACTGTCAGGTCAGCAATGAAATATGACATTTCTGATATTCTGCCAAAGTCAGGGGGGGGGGGGGGGGGCTGCCCTTTGCTTCTCTTGTACCCTTTGACTTGTATAATTTTATCTTGGGTTCTACACTGCTAATTACCATGGCCTTCAAGCTTTTTCCACAGAAAAGCAATATAACTATTGAAGTCCTTGCTGGACTTCATGGAAACTCTGGCACTCCGCTTTTTTCCTTGGAGACAACTTGAAGAGTGAAAACAGAAAGAAGTGTTTGAATGTAGGGTGTTAGAACAGGGGTCAACAACTTATAGCTTGTACACCCGATCTGGCAAACAAAGTGGTCCAATCCAGCATGGGTTTGGGGCAGGGAGGGGTTAGCAGCACAGAGCAGCATCATGCCACCCTTCTTCCCCCAGCTCTGCAGTACTCCCCTTCACCACAGAGTCTGAATTTACCCTCAGGAAAGAGAGGTGGGGATCAGCAACAAGGGTAAGTGGAGGCAGCTGGCTGGCAACAGTGGGGAGGGGAGGAAGAGACACTGGAGGCGGGAGTAGGTGGTTGCAGAGCAGGCAAGGTCAAAGCAGAACGCTTTGTTCCCACCTCACATAACTATACATTTTCTTACATTCTACATACCGCCAAGACAGACACAAAGTTTTGAGGAAGCAAAAGAAAGAAGAAAAGAAAAACTGATTTTTTCTTAGAGGCAGAGCTGATCTCTGCCTGCCTGGGATCCTGTCCGCATGGTTGAATTCTGGCCCATTTTGCTAAGGCAAAAAGCTGAAAACAGTAACCCTCTCTCAGCCACTGGTGGACAGGCAGAAGCTATGGACTCCACAGCCAAAAGCTACTGCCACTTCCACAGCAGCTGTGAAAGACTTGACGCTGTAGCGCTAACCCTGAACGGTAAACTCAGTGCCACTGAGGTTGGCAGGGGAAGAAGCATGACAGTTATTTCACGTCATTTCTATACTTCCATTTCTCCAATCTAGTGTAGAAAATCAGCTTCTCCACTTAAGACATGCACCCCACTTTTGGATAGCTGGCTTTTCTGGAAAAAAGGGTGCTCAAGACATATAAATAAATAAATACACAATTTCATTCTGAATTAAGTGATCTGCATCATCTCAATAAAATTAAACTTCCACAGGAGTCCACAGATCCAAATTTAGTCTTTGGGCATAGCCGAGATCCAGTGTCAAGATCTTAAGCTGACACCTGAATTAGTCCAAGTATCAAAGGCCTGATATGCTCACAATGGCCTAAAATCACAGAAATAATTCCACAACAATTCTTCTTGGTGTCCACTTCTTCAGATATTTCTGAAAATGATTCCTTTCTTTTCCTCACTCATTAAAATTCACTTAAACTGTTTATAGGTAGGGATGATACCACTGTCTAAGGTTGCCCAACACCTCCCATTGGAAGATCCAGTTTCAACGGACTAAAATTTTTCCAAAATATTTACATGGGAAAAAAAAGTTTCAAGCTGAGCAAAATGAGTTTACCTATTTCTAAGTATGAGTTTAGGGAAAATGCACTGATTTGCCAGCTAAGTTTCTGGCACACTTTTCCTCGAGAAGCTCTAAATGCCTCCATACCTTTGAGACATGACTCAAGATTTAGAGAAGATAACCTTAGATTTGATGATTTCCCTCCCCACTTGAACAATAACAGCAAAAATTTAGCTAGTCTTTTTTTTTTTTTTTGGGG